ACAAGTTGGAGGTCATGCTGGTTGGCTGGAGGATATAGCATGGCCCACTTTTGATAGGATACGGTTATCTTTGGCCAGCTATGTTAAGAGTTTGGGGATGTTGTTAAATCCTCCTCTTCTAATGCCAGGACAGATTAACGTCACACCAAAAAATACATTCTGCTCTCTCTGAATTGTGTAGAAATTGGCCTCCCATCTTAACTTAGCTGATCTGGCCACTCTGATCCATACTAAGGCTGGACTGTAGTAGTGCACTCAACAAGGTGCTGCCCTTGGAGACGATTCAGAAACCCAAGCGACTAAAAAATGCTGCAGCTCATTGACTGTCTGAAGTTAGTCACAGTTCTCATATTACACCAATATTAAATGGTATTGCATTGGCTGCCCATTTGGTACTATGTCCAACTGAAGTTGCTCCTTATGTCTTATAAAGTCCTTCCTGGACTTTCTACATGTCCTCAGGGCTGTGTCTCCCAATATACTTTTGGGCGACATCTTCAGATCTGCTTAAGAGAGTGCCCTCGTACAAGGAGACAAAGTCAGCACCTGCCCGCTCCAGAGGTTTCTTCCAGGGTAGCTCATGAGTAGTGGAATAACAGTGCAAGACAGAATGATCTCAATGGCCCTTCCGGTACATAAAGGTTTTTATTATGAAGTTGTTTTAATTTGCGCTGTTGGTTTTGACTATTTGTTGTTTTATTTATTATTTATGTTCATAGTCCACCTTTCCCACTAAGACTCAGGGCAGATTAGTCAATGTAGTCAAGAGAAGGAGACATCTAATAAGCAATGTAATAGGACTAGAAGAAGAAGGATTGGATTTATACCCCGCCCTTCACTTGGAGCCTCAGAGTGGCTTACAATCTCCGTTCCCTCCCCCTCTCCACAACGGACACCCTGTGTGGTAGGTGGGGCTAAGAGAGCTCTTTCCAGAACTGCCCTTGAGAGAACAGCTCTGACAGAACTATGGCTTGCCCAAGGTCATCCAGCAGCTGCAAGTGGAGGAGTGGGGAATCAAACAAGTCCACACACTTAACCACTACACCAAACTGGTGTTAGATTAGAGAACTCTATAGCAAGCAAAAAGTATTAGACCTGAAAGTAGAAAGCAGTAAAAAGAAAGTAGAAAACAATACAGCAAGAGTGGGCTAATACATAGAAGAAGCAGATAATGCATGCTGTATGTTCACAGTAGGGTTGCCAGCTCTGGATTGGGAATTACCTGGAGATTTTGGGGGTGGCGTCTGGGGAGGGACCTCAGTGGATTATAATGCCTTGGGGTCCACCCTCCAAAGCAGCCATTTCCACTGGAGGATCTTGGTCATCTGAAGATCAATGGCTCCAGGTGCCACCTGGAGGGTGTCAGCCCTAGTTCACAGTGATATACATTCTGCTCTGTTTTTTTCTGTGAGTATTTTGTTTGTGTACGTGTGCGCTTGCAAGCCTAGAAGTCATGGTGATTTCTGGCAACCCTTACTGGGACACTAGGATGTTTTCAGAGAGGTGGCTTGATATTACCTGCCTCTGCATCCCCAGCGCTGGTATTCCTTGTAGGTCGCCCTTCCAAGCACTTGCCAGGGTCAGCCCTGCTTAGCTTCCAAGATCTGGTGAGATCAGGTCAGGTCACATTCTGCTCTATTTTTAAAAGTCACTGTAATGTGACTTTGAGTCCTTCCCACCCACCCCTTTTTTGGGGGGGAAAGGGATAAACAGTCTTGCAGATGAATAAAAGTGCATTGTTCCCT